ACTAAAACACGTCTAATAAGAAATGGTTTAATTAAAAGTAAATTAATTAATAAAAAAAAGTAAAGCATTATAAACTGTTAAAAAAAATTTTTAAGTAATTTTAGTTACAAAAAGATATTGGTAAAGAGATAAATACAACTTTTGAAGATCGTCATTTTTGTCTTAGCAAATATCTGTTTTGCGTTGTTTCTTTTTTGTCAATCTTAACAAAGGTTTCATTATGTGAAGCCAAAAGGTTGAAAGTCATAACCGCAAAGAAATGTTTTATAAAAAGAAAAATATTCTATTATTTTCTCTCAATTTTTAATCAAATTTAATTTAGTTGAATGTTTAAAACATGTTTTTAATGTTTTAAACATTTTTAATTATACTAAGACTTGTTTTTTTAGAGAAAAAGAATTTTCATGTGCATCATTAATTGCATTCTAATAATTTTTTATGTGCATCCTAATAATGTTTTTATTTTGTTAATTTTGTTTGACAAAGTTAAAATAAAAATTTGTTGTACAAATGAAAAACAAAAGAGATTCAGAGATTAATGATTCAACTGTATTCAGACAGGTCAAAAGAGATTCAATGTTATTAATGATTCAACTGTATATACTTCAATAATTCAAAAACAAGGTCTATAAAATGATTAGCATTTGGAACTGAAAGAAAATATAATTTTAAAACTCATTTTAAATGAGAAAAAGTGTGCTTCAAAATACAACAACAATATTTAAAAAAAACAGCACAATCACACTATGAAGTATTAAACCACGTAGACTTCTATTTATTAAATTTAGTAAAATTATATAACACACCATAGTGTACTCACCCACCCTAGTGTACTCATTATTAAACAAAGTGTATACTACTTTATTTTAAAAAGTTTTCTTTTAAATAATCGCAAGGAATAAAACCTTCATAGATCTAAATATGGTTTTATTAATAAACACACTTTTGTACGTAAAAAACTGTCAGGTCACCCTGCTGGGTTACTGACAGGCTTTTTTTTTAAAATTTCAGTCACCCTTGGAGAAAACAAGTCTTCCCATGCCACCGGACAACTATGAGGGTACACCCCTGCTGTCTACATCAAAATAAATATTCTAACAGAGATCTTGCCAGTGATCTGACTCTGAATAGAGTGCTATTTCTCTTTCAATGGAGTAAAGCAAATATAAAGTTTCAACAACCAGTGAGAGAAATCACTTTATTATAAAAATTCACTTTATTATAAAATAAAAACTCTTAGGGAGAAAGTAGAAAACATTGCACAAGAAAGAACTAAAGCAAAAGACCTTATATTTAAGTTAGATTAAACTAATAAACCTTGCCACATGCACTAATACAATACTTCTATGTGAGAATAATAACTCTTTGATTATTAAATTTCTAAAGCTACATTAAAAATTAAAAGGCCCTCTTCTACCCCTCCCCTATTACTCTCTAAAAAATAATGACTACATATGAAAATTAACGAAATAATGAAAATATATTTTTTCCAATATATCTAAATGCAACTTTGTCCAATCAAAAAATATTTTTAGGAAACCATCTTTAAGTTTTAATTTTATAAGAATACACCTTTTCTTAAGCTTTTAAAAGGATAAAAATACCACTTACAACTATTACAAACTAATTACAACAATTACAACCTAAAAACTGACTGGGACTCTTTATGTGATGGCCCTTGGATAGAAATCAAAAAATCACGTATTTTATTTCAAAAATTAGACTCCAAAGACTTCAGGAGAATCTTTAACAGTGTCTATAATAAGGGAAAATTTGTTATTTCTCCGCTCTTGCAAAAGTTCAGATTTTGTTACCTTGCCTAAAAACAAAACTGTATTGTTAGCTAAGAACTTTTTATCAATTTCATCTCTGGATTCCAGAGATAAAATTAATGAAAAAAATGGATTCCAGCAGCTTTAGAAGTTTAATAATAATTTCCGAACTCTTAGGTAGCTCTCAGAGAGCTCTCATCAACAGCTGTAAAATATCAGAGTAATAGTGCCATGTTGCGCATGGATGGTGTCTATGTTTGAACTTTTGGTGTGCATTATCAAGGACACATTTGGAGCCTTTAACTACTGCTTAGAGTTTATTAATAGTAATGAGGCAATTGTTTCCAATGTTAAATAGTGTACTATCTATGCTTTGACTCAAGTTCTTTAACAAATTTAAAAATGACCAAAGTATCAAAAACTATAAAACACAAAAAACCATCATCACCACCAAGTTCTCTAAACCTATCATTCACTAATATTTGTGGTCTTCAAAGAAACTTTTCTTCTTTTGAGTCTTATCTCTTGCAAAGTTCACCAGACCTACTTGCTCTTTGTGAGACTAATATGAGTTTGACTGCCTCATCTAGTGATCTTAGTGTTGATGGTTATCTTCCTTTAACTTGTAAAGATTCCAATAGTCACATGTTTGGCCTGGGCATTTACATTCATAAGAATTCACCCATTTGTCAGGAAACTAGGTTTGAATCCACCGACTATTCTTTTATGTGCTCTTGTTTAGCATCACTTCACTTTATCGCCTTTCTCTAAGTAAATGATTCAAGTTGTTCGGAAAGCAAGTTGGAAGGTTGACTATTTGAGTTAGAGATTGAGAAAGGCAAAAGTTGCGGAACTTAACACCCACAACTTTTGCCTTTCTCAATCTCTAACTCAAATAGTCAACTTTCCTACTTGCTTTCTGGACAACCCAAATCATTTACCTTCTCTATTCGACTTATGTCTTGTTTCTGATCCTGATCCTAATCAGTGCTCAGTTTGTCCACATTCACCCTTAGGTGCTTCTGACAACAGTTTGATACCACGGTTTGATTCAGGCTCGCATGGAATCGTTTATTCCATCTCGACAAATCCCAGTCAAGCCTCACTCTTCTTCATGGTTTTCCTCACATTGTGCTGCTGCAATTTTGAATCAAAACCATTACCTCCATATCTATCAGCAAAAAAATTCTTCAGAAAACAGGCGTCTGTTTACTATTGCTAGAAATCATTGTAAAAGGGTTTTGTCTAACACCAAAGCCCGCTATTCTCAGGTCATGAAACCTTGTAATTTATCTCAAAAATTAGACTTTCGTGATTTGAGAACCTTTAACAGTATCAATAATAAAAGCAAATCTGTTATTTCACCTCTCTTGTATGGTTCAAATTTTGTCATCTCACCTTAAGACAAAGCTAAATTGTTTGCTAAGACCTTTTCATCAATATCATCTTTTGAATATTCTAGTAGAGTTCTACCTGATATAGCCAACAAACAGATTGATCTATTGCTTGACATTCGAATCATTCCAGCTTTTGTATCTAAGTAATTTCCTGCTTAGACTCTTCTTTAGCTTGTAGTCCAGACAACATACCTGTTTAGACTTGCAGAAGTATTCTCCTGATTTGTTGTCTATACTTTTAAAACTATTAACAAGTGCTTATCAGAGTCTTGCTTTCCAGCATGCTGGTCTTCTCTAAAGTTTTCTTCTTACAGTGTATCAGGTAACATCTTTAAGATTATTACATCCTTCCTTTCCGATTGTAGTATAAAAGTTGTCCTCAATGGACAGCACTTTTTTTCATATCCAGCAACTTCAGGGGTTTCTTAAGGTTCTATCCTTGACCCTATACTCTTTTTAGTTTACATTAACGATCTTCCAGATATGTTTCCATCTAAAGTGGCATTGTTTGCTGATGATACTACCATTTATTCTTACCAGCAATGATAAAATTATGTAACACAGAAGCTGAATGTGACGTATTGTGGTTCAATCAGATCTAAAATGGCAATTTCAAGTTGATTCAGCTTTGTAAGTAAAGCAAATAGAATGTTAGGTATCATAAAATAAACATTTAAATATTTAGACGAAAAAAAATAAAAAAGATGTTTGTACATCCACATCTAGAGTTTGCGGTCAAGGGATGTCAAGACAAAATTAAAAAGATCTAAAGAAGAGCTAGTACCAACAATAAAAAATCGATCTTATAAAGATAGATTTTTTTATAAACACAAACTCAAACTCAAAAAAACTTTCTAAAGAAATACTTTCAGACAGTAGTGCCTGCAGGATTTTTTGATGTTTCAATGCCATATGAGGAGGTCTTGCAAAAAATTGGATGGTTGAGGACTGTAAACAAAAAAGCAATAAAACAATAGCCCCCTACCTGTCTAAACGTGAGGGCACTGATGCAGTAAAATTTTCAACTTTAATTTTCTGATCCCTTCCCTTCCCTTAAATGAGGGGGTCGTAAATTTTGAAAGTGTTGTATCTGAAACATCAAAAAATGCCTTCAGATATCATTTTTTCTAAAATTGAGTTGCATGAAATGAAAAATGCATGCATGAAAAAACTTACGATCTGAAATAATAGAAGCTGATTTGATAAATAATTTCAAAAACAAACTAGACAAATCTAAATTTTGCAGAAGCTATTTGTTTAAACAAAAACACTAACTGAGCAGTTACAGTGCAAACGTTTACACCAGCTGTTATGGCTATACTTTATTATTATATATATTTAAAAATTAAATTATTAGTTTTAGTAATTAGGAGTTAAGTTTTATCATAAAAAAAGTAATAATAACTACTGTGATAAAAATATTAATAAATTAAATAATTTCATCATTAATTTAAAGACATAAAGTTGACATAAAGTTGACAGTTTGTAAAAAATATAAATACAAAGTATTGAAAAACACTTTTTTAAAAAAACTTACCTAATACTTTAGAAAAACATCTGTATTTCACTTTAAGTGCTCCACTAAAACTTTTAAGACATGGTATAGTAATGGCATTTGTGAATGATTCCTTAAAATTAATAAAAAATTGTAACTCTTGTAGCACTTCAAAATCTGTGCAAGATTTTTCATCAGTTTGTTTGTGAGTTTGGGAAGATGTTATTACTTCAACTATTGATATAAATTTTTCTTCGCAACATGTTTTTCTTGAATTACAAAAATGTCTAATTTCGCCATTTTTAATATGAAGTACAGTTTCTTTTATAACATTATCTAAATTTTAAAATATTATTAGTAAGTTATTTTTTGTATACAAAATATAATACAAAATATAATACAATATATAAATATATATATATAATATATATATATATATATATACATATATATATATATATATATATATATATATATATATATATATATATATATATATATATATATATATATATATATGTATATATATATATATATACACGTCAATTAATACAAATTCTCTTAATACAATTAACAACTTATTATCTAATTTATTTTTATTAATTGTATTAAGAGAATTGGTATTAATTGATGTTTTCTGACTAATATAAAATATACTCTTATACACGGTGTCAACACTAAAGTAAAATATATATAATAAAAAATAGTAAGTATATAAATAATAAAAAAAGTAAAACATATATAATAAAATATATATATATATATATATATATATATATATATATATATATATATATATATATATATATATATATATATATATATATATATATATATATATATATATGTTGTGTTTTCTATTTTTTGTTATTGAACTATTTGTTTTATATATGTGTCTATTTTCTTGCATCTTTAGATTAGTACAATTATTGTTAAATAAAGCCTTAATCAAGAGGTCAATCTTTTTATTAGTTCATTACAACTTATTTAATAAATATATAAAATTATTGGGAAATGTCAAAGATCTTAAAACCGACGACGCTTGATCTTGATCATAATGCACCAACTGCTTCAAAAGAATGGAAGCATTGGAAACGAACATTTGAAAATTTCATTGAGGATTGTGGAGAGGATGCTCCAGACAAATTTCGCTGCATCATTAATTTTGTTTCATCAAATGTTTATGATTACATTGAAGAGTGTGACTCCTATGAAAGTGTAATTGAAACCCTAGAAAACTTATATATAAAAACCCCTAATGAAATTTTTCAAGGCATCAATTACTTATAAGACATCAAACATCGAGTGAATCCTTAGAAAACTTTCTTCAGGAACTACGTAAACTCAGTAAAAACTGTAATTACAAAAATGTTTCAGCTGAACAATATCGAGAGGAACAAATAAGAGATGCTTTTATTTCTGGAATAAATTCGAATTACATTCGTCAACGACTTCTTGAAAATTCAACATTGAATTTGCAATCAGCATTTAACCAAGCTCGTTCTTTTGACATTGCACAAAGAAACTCAGATTCTTATATGCAGAAAACATCCTCCTTGTCCTCCAATTTAAATATTGCTGCCGCTATAAAATTACCAGAAGAACTCTCAGCAGCACTCAATGCTATGACTATTAATCCTCAAACAAAATGCATTTATTGTGGTAATCCATCTCACAACCAACGTAATCAAACCTCTGCTAGAAAAAATTGTCCAGCTCAAAATGTAACCTGTTTTAAATGTGGAAAAAAAGGTCATTTTTCCAAAGTTTGTCTTGGCAGGCCGATGAATATAACCCACAGTGTTTCAGCTGCAATACATAAACCAAGTTTGTGTACTGTTTTAAGTAGTTGTCTGTTGAGCCTCTCTCATGTAGCTGTTATTGTCAGAATTAATGATGAACCGTTAACTTCACTAATCGATTCCTGTAGCTCAGATAATTTTATAAGCAAGAAAATTATCGACTTTAAAAATTAAAACGCTACCTAGTAAAAAGAAAATTTTGATGTCCCTCACAACAATGGAGTCTGGATTAGTGGGCTGCTGTTCGGTTAATCTTGAAGTAAATGGTTTATTTTATAATAATGTTCAATTTGGTGTCTTAGAAAATCTTTGTAGTGATATCATACTTGGTTACGACTTCCAAAAGCTACACAAAAATTTAAGATATAATAATGATGATCGAAACTTTATTGAAAGTGAAATATTACAGTTATTATCGGATGGTATAATTGAGCCATGTTTCTCACCATGGAGAGCCCAGGAAGTGGTTGTAAAGGATCTTACTAAATCTAACAAAAAAAGAATTTTTATTGATTACTCTCAAACAGTTAACCTTTACACTGAGTTAGATGCATATCCTCTTCCCAGAATAGATGATATGATAAATGGACTTGCAAAGTACAAAGTATTCTCTACATTTGACTTGAAAAGTGCTTACCACCAAATCCCTATTAAAAATTCAGACAAAAAGTATACAGCATTTGAGGCAAATGGGAAACTATTTCAATTTTGCAGGATTCCATTTGGAGTTACTAATGGTGTGTCTATGTTCCAAAGGTCTATGGACAAGTTTATTGAAGAAGAAAAGTTACATGACACTTTTCCATATCTTGACAATATAACCATTGGTGGTTATGATCAGGCACATCATGATAAAAATTGTCTGCAGTTTCAAAACGCTTCACAACGTTGGGGTCTAACTTTAAATGAATCAAAATCGGTTATTTCAGCTTCTTTTATAAACATTCTTGGTTATTGTGTTAGTCATAACAACATAAAACCAGATTCTGAGCGATTACGTCCTTTAGACTTACTACCTCCTCTCTCTAACATTTTATCACTTCGACGAACTTTGGGTATGTTTTCTTACTATTCAAAGTGGATACCTTCGTTTGCTAATAAAGTTCGGCCTTTAATTAATGTTAAATCCTTTCCTATCAATAGTGAGGCACTTGAAGCATTTCAATTTCTTAAAAGAGAACTTTATGCTGCCACTTTAAGTTCTATTGATGAGAGCTTACCTTTTGTTGTTGAATGTGATGCATTAGATGTAGCCGTATCAGCTACCTTGAATCAAAATGGTCGTCCAGTTGCCTTTATGTCTCAAACATTAGGCAAAAGTGAAATCAATTACCCATCAGTAGAAAAAGAAGCTGTGGCTATTATTGAAGCCGTTCGAAAATGGCGACATTTACTGTTAGGGAATCAATTTAAATTAATTACTGATCAGCGTTCTGTAGCTTTTATATTTGATAACCGAAAGAAAACAAAGATTAAAAATAGTAAGATTTAGTGCTGGAGGATGAAGTTAGCAGAGTTTAGTTATACTATATCGTATTGTCCTGGAAGCGATAATATCTTCTCTGATGCACTCACACGTGCTTTTTGTGCTACAACCCAATCTCAAACAAACCTAAGTGGTATACATAGCTGTCTATGTCACCCAGGGGCTACTTGTATGCTTCACTTAAATTAAAAATCTAAAAATTTACCTTTTTCTACAGAAGAGGTCAAGAGAGTTTGTTCTAACTGCCAGATTTGTTCAGAATTAAAACCAAAGTTTTATCGATCCTCAAATGTCTGTGAGTTAATCAAGTCAATACGTCCAATGGATCGCCTAAGTTTAGATTTTAAAGGACCATTGCCATCTAATTCTAGAAATAAATATCTGTTTACAGTCATTGATGAATATTCTCGGTATCCATTTGCTTTCCCATGTCCTGATATTAGTTCAACAACTGTTGTGAAGTGTTTAGATCAAATATTTTCCTTTTGTGGTTTTCCAACGTACATTCATTTCGACAGAGGCTCATCTTTCATACCTAATGAATTAAAATCTTACCTTACTCAGAAAGGAATTGCAACAAGTAATTCTACCCCATATCATCCTATCAGTAATGGACAAGTTGAGATATAATGGCTTGATCTGGAAAAATATTTGTTTGGCACTAAAAACCCACAACCTAGATGTTAGAAATTGGGAAATTGTTCTATCAGACACTCTCCAGTCACTCCATTCGCTACTTTCAACTGCAACTAATTGTACACCCCATGAGAGGTTATTCAGTGTTCCTAGGGGCTTGTCATCCGGAACTTCGTTACCCTCATGGTTAACTCCTGGCCCAATTTTTCTAAGACGTTTTGTGCGTACAAATAAAAACGATAATCTCGTGGATAAGGTTGAATTAATGGATGTAAATCCAACATATGCTAATATTCTTTACCCTGATGGATGAGAGTCAACTGTTTCACTTCAAGATCTTGCACCGTATCTTGCCCCAAAAGAAAAGTTAAATGATATCAATGAGAATAGTATCAATGAGTCTAGTGAGAATGTAATTGCGAAAGTACTTGATGTAAATAAATACCCCTCACCTGAAATTGCATCGGAAATCAGAGTTAGGGTAGATGAGCCAGTAACTGAGCCATTTGCTGATGTATTACGACGTTCTGCCAGAGCTTGTAAAGCTCCTGTAAAATATGATGACTATATGTTAAAATGACAAAACTAGTTTATGGGCCTTTTTCTACTTAGATGGGAAGATTGTTGTGTTTTCTATTTTTTGTTATTGAACTATTTGTTTTATATATGTGTCTATTTTATTGTATCTTTAGATTAGTACAATTATTGTTAAATAAAGCCTTAATCAAGAGATCTTTTTATTAATATTACAAATATATACTTTTTTTTTCATGTTATAGACAACAAAATAAATTATTTGAAAATAAAAAAATTATAAAATAAAAATATTCTTTGTAAACAATTTGGGTACATTTCTTTTTTCTAGATTATATATACCAATATTTTTCACATGTTTTTCAATAAGTGTCACATTTTCATTGCATAGATTTATTATTTTATTATATACTAGTTGCTTCTCCATTGATAAATGTTATCAGTGAGGTGAAATAACAGATTTTTTTTTTGTTTTACATGTTTTCAGTAATTTAAATTTAGTGTTTAAATAATATTAGAACTTATTTATTATATCTTTTCTAAAAAAAATATATTTATACCACTAAAAACTTTTTGTTATACCATTAAAAACAATTTTTATCTATGTAGCACTTGTCCTGCCAAAAATACCAATTGTTATAGATAGAATCAAAGACAATTTACTTTATTTTATTTTTTTTTATTTAATCTAATAGTTCTACAAAAAATTTGCAAATTTTTAGCTTAAATTATTAGCTGTGAATCTGAATCTGACAATATATTAACAATGATATTTGAAGGGACAGTTAGTAATAACTATATATACTTGCATTTAAAAATTAAAATGTAAACAGGCAAAACCTTCTAGCACTAATTAATAGAAGAAAATCAAACAACTT